AGCCAAGAGTGGAAAGGCGCGACACCGCCAGTTGCCACCGCCGCAACACTTTGAAGGCCTCATCAAAGGTCTGGGAAGTGGGCGGCGAACGAACCCACTGCTGCAAAGACTTCACTTCCTCCTTGCCGCCAGGGTTCAACACTTCCAACAAAGAGACAGCAGCTTCTGGCTGGTCACCTTGGCCCGGGTTGAGTATTCAAAAACGGGACGTTTCACTTCTTCTGGCAATGTCCTCATCAGGACAATGCAAAACCGGCTCTCATAGTCAGAGGAGAGATGCCCAGTGCATGTGGATGCAGACCACATGCCTTCATCCAGGTACTCATACGTTGAAAGCTTTCCCATCTGCCTTTGCTCATATACATTTTCTGCCTGCTGAAATTTCTCTTGCAAGAAAAGAGCCCACCTCTGACCAACTGCATGTGCAATTGCCAGAAACTCAGCTTTCCACACGCTAAGTTGGAGTGCTCTTTCCCAGGATTCCCCAGGAGCAATCTCAAGCTTGGGCACGTCTTTCAGCGGTTTCCACACGCCATCCCTTTTGTAGTCTACGCCATCGTCGACAGTTTGTTGGATCAAGGGCGCTGAAGACCACGCAGGCTCTGTCTGCTTGCGCTGCTGAGACGTGGCCAAGCCAGGCGGCTTAAAGCCAGCAGGATCTTCACACTCCCACCATGCTTTGTCATCATCGTCATCATTTTGCCACTGTTCATCTTTTGAAGGTGTCAAAAGAAAGTGCTCTGGCTGAGCAGGTTTTGTAGTAGGCGACAAGTAGCTTGTTTCCACTTGCCCCTGCTGAGAGTTTGCAGTCTGCAGAATGCGATGATCCAGGTAGTTCATTCTGGCCATCGCTGCTTGGTGCCGATCTTCCAGCGTGCTGAAACGCAATTCAGCATGTTCATTGGCGCTCCGCGCGCTGACTGCCATGTCTTTCATGGATGTTCTGTGCTCATTCAGGGAGGCCTGCATCGCTGTCATTGCTTGCTGCATTGATGCCATAGCCGTTCCCATCCTGTCCAGAGTATGCTCCAAGCTCTTTTGACGGTCTTCTTGTGACTTGAAGTATACCTGAAGTCTTTCAGCTAGTGCTTGTTCTCTTTGGATGCTTTCTGTGAGCTGCTGCTCCAACATCTTCACACGGTCGCTGAGCCCTTGGGTGCTTGTGGCCACACTTTGTACAGCACCAGCAAGAATCTCAGTTCGACCTTTGACTTGGGAAGCTATCTCGCGGATAGCCGCTGACATCTCTACCCCTTCGTCCACCATCATTGGTTCAGAGGCTGCATTCGCAAGGTGTGCTAGCTGCTGTAGCAACTCAGGAGCCACCGTAACTTCTGACATCTCCACCCTTCGCAAGTGCATTGGAAAAGGTGGGACTGGAGGTAAGCCGGAAGTGGTAGAGCCAGTGTTTGGGCTCATGACCTGAAAATCGGGTGTGTCAGGAACAGGAGAGAAATGAGTTGGAGCAGGAAGGTTGGCATGGTGCAATCGTAATGCTTCTCTCGGAAAATCACTCGGCTGATCAATCGGCATTTCTTGATTTGTGCGTGTCTCCTTCTGCTTCAATTCTCCTTTTCTTTCTCCTTTTCCTTCTCTTTTCTACTCACTCCAACTTCTATTCAAACTTCTTTCAAAATCAAATCGGCCGTTCTTATTCTTGTTCTCAAAAATTGCCTTCGCTTACACTTCTCGATTTGTCACTTCTCGATTTGTGCAGCTCAGTGCAAAGCAATTGACATGGGAATGCAAAATGCACAGCAAAATGCACGGCGCCCTTTTTTCACGGGTCTTGAGCCACAATTCGTGGCGAGGTTGAAGTCATGACCAAACGTCAAGGTTTGAAGACTCTGTGGTTGAATCTGTCATCAAACGTCAAGCTTTGCAGAAACTGTCTGAACGACAGGCAAGAGGCAAAACAGATTTTCCCATTAAAACCTCCATTTATAAGGGATTTTCCATGGCTATGTTAAATAACCAAATAATCAATAAACATCTAAATAAACAGTCCAATTTCACCAGAAATAGGTTGTGTAAACCATGTAAAGCATCCCTTTCTGTGGGGTCAAACCTGGGGTGAACCATCAAGTGTCGACTCTTGTCTGCTTGGTGGTGACTGGAACCATGGAATTTTCCTGGTTAATCTATGGTTAATCTATGGTTAATCTATCGTTAATAATTGGAATAACAATATATCTGGTTGGTGGCGACTGGAACCATGGAATTTTATGATTTTCCATATATTGGGAAGAAGAACTCCAACTGACGAACTCATATTTTTTAGAGGGCTTGAAAACACCAACCAGTTGATGATGATTAAACGTTTATATAAATCCCCATGAAGTTTAGCTACCTGATGGTAGGGGCATCACTTTGAATCAGGCGGAAGATGAGCTACGGCGGATAGCCTCTGGGAATTTAGCATAGCTATGGAAAATCACCATTGTTAATAGGTAAATTAGTAAATCATCTATATATATATAAGTGGGCCATTTGTGGATACATAGTTTTGGACAATGGCCCGTTTGCAGACATGTGTGAAATTGCCAAAGGATACAAGAACAACATCCATCATCGTAGCCCAATTTTGGCGCATACCCAGTGCATGTTTGTTGGATGTCTTGCGAGCTATTCGATGCTGCACACCTTCCAATTGATGTTGGAATTTGTTATACCATCTGGTTATGACTAACAGTTCGCCATGGAAAATCCACCCATTTTTTAATATTTTTAATAGATTAATAGGTAAACCATCTATTTCTATGGGCCATCTATACCATGGCTAATATGTATGTTTTCCCAGAATCTGGCGAATCTCTTGATGTTTTCTTTCCTAGTCCGGCCGCGATGGGCTTGGGTCGGGGTCCGGATCGCCATGATGGCGTTTCCATATGGTGATACCATGTGATACCCCAGCTGGATGGTTTATTTCATGGAAAATCCGAAGATAAAATGGATGATAACTGGGTGTACCATGGTGTACCCCCATCTTAGAAAACCCCCATGTGCATTAAACATCATTAAACATCATTAAACATCATTAAAGCCACATCGTAGCAATCTCTCGAAGACCTTACGGCAAAGTTCTACGTTTTGGATGAGTTGATCCTGGGTGTTCCTTCAGCTTAAGCAATCAGCAACCCATGTTCTCAACCATGGCCTGGTTAGTGATAGTGTGCCTTTGTTCAAGGCACGACATGAAAAAAAACGTTGACTAAGCAGCAAAGGAATTTGCTACCAGCCATTTCTACCTATGACAACAGTTTCATCATGTTTCATCCCTTCCCCCTAATATTAAATATATATATATTTTTTAATATTATATATATATATCTATTATATATATATATATTTAGATAGCACTAGAAAACATGGTTTAGTAATGTTTAGTAATAGTCTGGTTTAGCGTATCTCCCCATCTTTGGGACATTTTGGGACCATCGAAACTGGTTGGGGCCAGGGCAACGGCGAGTTCACCCGCGCCTTGAACGTGTACCGGAAGCCCCGGATGCATCGAACGGGGAACGGGTGAGTCCAACTTAAGGGTCAACAGAGTGATGGCAAATTTGGTGGGAAGTGATTTTATGGCAACTTTTTATGGCATATCTATTCGCGAATTAGTGGATTTGGGATGATTCAGGTAGTCATTGAGTATCCCAAAATAAAAAAGGGATGGTTTATCCTAAAGAATGGTTTCCATGGGCCAATGGTGACCTCGGCAGAAAACTTTGATATTTTTTGGGCGAGAAAAAACCAACATGGACCCTGGTTTTTTTCGGGGCTCGTGCGATGTTAGGACATCCATTTTGTGATTGTAATGACCATAAGAAGCCACTGCTGTAATGTTAGTAAAAGATAGTAAAAGCATGTAAAAGCAATACTAAAGTGTTTGTGTTTTGTTTCATTTTTTTGAAATGTGTTACTATCATGAACTGGTGTATCATCCAAATTGTCCCATTAAAACTGTGGATCAGGTACCGCAGATGCGAGCGAAATGGCTTGGAAGTTCTGTTCACCGAGGCGGGTTTCTTTGTGGCCATGGTGCTGCTGGTAGAAAGCTGTGTTTTGTTTCACCTAAATGGGGATGAAGGCGACCAAACAATGATTTTGTCGGCAACAAAAATGGCCAAGAGAACGCCGAAGTGGAGACATGTTTAGCCAAGCTCATGGAGTAATATCGTTCCCAACAAACGACTTTTTCCTTTTGCAAGGTATCCTAAAATGGCTGTGTTCATGGGGAAATTATGATACGGCATGGGAAAAAAAGCAGAGGCCCCATGTGGGGCACAATCTTGCGGGTCCATCCCTTCATCGCATGTTCACCCAAAATGACTAATTAATGACTTCCAGCCCTATGGGTGCATGGGTTTGTGCGTGCTCCCTATACAACATGAATCACCGATTTGTGGATCTATTCCCGAGACTTTGCAGAATTCCGCATTCTTGTTCGTTGGGGGATTACGCTTTCGTTTTCTGGAAATTACTTATTGAAATCTCTGATGCCTACGTTGATGCCTAGGTCTCCCCAAGTTATGTTTAGTATGGCTGACAAGGGTTTATGGCTTATACATTCTATGTATATATATATACACATTATTACATATATTATGATTATATATGTATATGTTTAGTGAATGAGGGTTATCATATCATCCAACAAGCACAACTGGGAGCACCACATCCCATAAAACCCCATTACTTTGATTCAACCCCATCTAACGGCAACACTATAAAGTATGACTATGTAGACCCGATTAATCCCATTGTGTTTTTTGTTTAAATAGTTTTATGATGGTTTAGGGCTTGTATCCCAACTACAATCCCATACAGTTGATGGTTACAGCCCTATGACAATTTTCGTGAAATCTCTAGTCGTCATGGTATTGTACCTATACTATACTTTCTAAATTGAATTGTAATAACTTAAATTAACTTAGCTAGCACAAACATCTACCATAGATTCCCGCTGTTGTTGGTTCCCCATGTTTGGTCGATACGAGGCTATGATCTTGGTGGCACAACTTGTATCGTTTCCAAACGGAATCCTCGGGGATGGCTCGGGCAAGGAGCTCTTTACCTCCTTAGTACAGTCCGGCATTCGCGTGAGCAAGGCAGGAGAGAGGAGAGATGACTATCCCATAGGGCTATGACATAGCCATATTGATGGAAACATCATGAAACATCAACCATCAACCCTAGGGTAAACTGACATAGTAGTGGAAAAACATGGTTCTACTAAAATAAGCTACAAACTGTTTGTTAGTTACAGGAGGGTAATTAAAATTGATCAGGGTCAATGTGGGCAACCCAATAATCAACGTACCATTTGGGGATGGTTTATATTGGTTTACACAACCAATAAAAATGGTCAATTTGGGGATTGTTCATCATGCAATCCTCGTGTTGATCGTTCAAGTGGAACGAGGTCATCCAAAGCGTTTGTTCCTGGGGATCTTCATTGGCACTGGGTGGTTTCAAAAGGTTTGGCCAGAGCTCTCACCTCAAAGTGGTAACAAATCTTGCTGTACGTGTTGTCGGAATCTCAAATGGACGACATTGGGTGCAAGAAGTTCTTCTGGAGCAAATTTTGAATCCTTTGTTTATTACCAAACATGTGCTGAAACACCCTGGGCCATATGATCATGCCTCAAAGTTGTGATTCAGCATCATATGTATTTTTGGTTAACAAAGTTAACTATATAAATATTCAAATCAATTCTCTGAGTTCTTGTGTTTGAACATCCACCGAACGCGCCGCTAGCTGATCATGGCTAGAGCCCGGTGGGAGATGGCGGTTCATCATAGTATGAAGTGTGCCCACTTGTTTTCCACATAGAAACATAACCAACAAAAACAGAAGGATGCAGATTTAAATTTAGATCCCCATTCTGATTTTAGGGTTGTCTCCAAAATAAGGTACCTCAAACTCCAGTGATAAATAAGAATATCTTGGGGGTGAATCAGTGAATCTACCATTTTCACACCAACCCAATAGGTTCATCAAACCCCACTAAATAAACCCTATTACACCCTGTTAAACCCTAGTAAACCATATGGAGGTTTCCTAAAATGGGGATACCCCTACATCATGCACTTTAATAGGATTTTCCCTTATAAACCAACCATTTTGGGGTACCCCCATGACTTAGGAAACCCCCAGCAGACGCAGACCCCTCACATCCCGCAGTGCCAGTTGGATGTGGTTGAGCGAACACTTCGCACAATGAAGCGGATCAAGATGAAACCCAGTTTGGAGCTCCTGGGATTCCTCAGCGGAGCTTTATGGTGACTTATAATGATCCCTGGTAAACTGATGGGAATTCAATGGGATTTATGGTGACTTAATGGTGTTTAATGGGATTTTATGGTGACTTAATAGGAAAACTAATGGGGTTTTATGGTGACTTAATGGGAATTAATGGGATCTAATGGGATTTACTGGGATATACCCTCTGGATCCCTCTGGTAAACATACAAAAAACCATTGAAAATCAGCATTTTATAGTTGGGTAAATCAACTATTTCTATGGTCATGTTCAATAGGAAACTGTTAGTTTACCAGAGGGTATCTTATATGGCTTGACAATTCTGGGGTGGCATTTTTTAGTTATGGAGATTTTGTGTAATGGTCATGTGGATTTATGGATTTGACAAATATGGGGATTTGATTGGGGATATATGATTATACATACACACATACTGGGTAAATTATAACGACCTCACTGTTCTCCCTCACTGGAATCATGGTTAGGTTGGTTAGGATTCGGGAAAATATCCCCAAATAGCCGAACAATTCAGGTGAGTGAAATATTAAAATTTACCCAGACACATACTGGGGATATAGTGTGATATATAACCATCTTGAAGACCTGGCTTTGCTGAGTAGGTTGGGAAATCCCCTGGGGAATTTGTGTGTTGGGCCATCGCAAATCCAAGGAATTTGATCCATGGAACTGAGAATATCTGGAATATATTTATAGATCTTTAGGGAATGCTTAAGTTACAATAAATAGGAGCCAAACAAATGAGATCAACAAATGAGATCCATCTCCTGGCTTTGCTAGCAAACATGCTTAAACATCTTAAACCAAGTTAGGCACCCTTTGATGGGCACAAACCAGTGACATCAATCAAACATACCGTAAATCAAAACATAGATCACACTATGCTATATACATATATAAGTATATTTATACATTATGGGAAAAAAAACACAGTGATTGGGCAAACCTTGGTTTCATGATTATATCACCATCACCGGAAGTCTCCGCCACCAAGGTTTTGGCAACTTACCCTGAAGATGTTGTCGAGCTGCGCGGCTAAGTTTTTTGTTTTTCCAAACTGTGGACCGGTTTTCCCAGAAAGCTGTTTGTCAGTATTGTTTATACTTGATTTTGTGTTTCTGATCCCAATCGGATTTCCCGAGTACTAAAAAGACATGTTTTGTTTGAATGGGCCCAAAGCAAATATTATGGTCTTCCCAAGAATCAATGTAATCATTACAAACTTATATATACAGTAGGTTTTTGCAGTTTTACATAAGTTTTACAACCGTTAAAATCAGCATGTCTGTTTTTTTCCTCATCGATGATGGTCCGGTCGTCCCAGTATGATCACCGGACAGATGTTGATCACAGTGAATTGTCGCTGATTTTAGGCCATGCCGATAAGTGATGTTTCACAAATACATGGTGCATCTATACAAATTGTATAATATAAGATGTAATAGTATATTCATATATATATAATGTTATGTTATGTATGTTACGACCCACCAACCGACCGACCAACCAACGAACCAGCCCGTTTTCTTTTCCTGAGGTCGAAAACATTTTGCGCTGTGTTTGGTGGCCTATTCTATTTTTGAGCTTCTTGATACAACTTGGTGATGGGTCCTATAGTTGCCAGAAAGCACCCGAACTCAAAACTAAGACAGATTTTGGATCAAGCCAACCATGGTATGATAGGGGTAGAAGACCAGCCATTTTATTAGGGGTGTAAGATAGAGAGGTATATATAATATCGGGGTGAGCTATGGCTCGACTGACCCGCTGAGCCATGGCCGAAATGACATTTTTTTTCAAGTTGCTGACACATTGAGCCAGGTATTTGGCCTGTTTTTGGAGTAGCTGTTGGGCGGTGCTTCAAGACATGGGGCATTAATGCACCCACAAAGCCTGGCATTGCTCTGACGAAAACCATATGAAATTCTTGCGACTAGGCACTCTGGTGAGTTGAACAGAGTAGCCCAAGCCGGATAGACTGGGATGTTCCATTCATGGGATGGTTCGGAATTTCAGGCACGGTTCCTGATTCTCTTCTTGGGAAGATGTAGGTAACTCACTGTCAGAAGGATTTCAGCTGGCTTTTTCAAGCTTGAGACAGTCAGCCTTGGAAGATGCTCATGCTTGTGAGAGGCTACCAGCCAGCCCAGGTGGTCTTTTTATTTACCCTCTGGTAAACTAACATATCTATGGGAAATCACCATTTTTTATGGGAAAACTCACTATAAATGGTCATTTTCAATAGCTATGTTAAATTACCAGAGGGTATTGTGAAATCATGTGAAGTCACGTTGGGTTCAATGCAGATATCACAAGTAGGATGTAAAATCTTGCCCTCAACCAGTTCACAGTCGACATCCCGTGCCTTGTATTCCAACTGATATGAATAAAGGGCGTAGGCAGTCAACAAATCACGGGACAACAGTTTGATGTACCTTTCAAAATCCCGAAAATTTAGAACTCAGTCTGAGCTTTGACAAAATCACGGATAAACGCAGCCCCTTTACTCCGACTCATTTTGAGAGTATGACTACAACCCTTACCCTCTGGTAAACGTTTACATAACTATTGAAAATCACCATTTTATAGCTGAGTAAATCCACTATTTAACGACTGGGCCATTTTCTATGTCGCTTTTTGTATGTTTACCAGAGGCTACAACCGTATCCCCCCTGACCTTCCCGGCAAGGTGTCACATCCCCGTGGACAAGGTGATCTACTCCTGCTTGATCAACGCTGGCCTCGAGTCCAAGCAGCTGAAACGCATCCCTGCGTCCTGGTCGAATCGGCGAATGGTGGGTGAAAGTGTGGGGCCAGCAATGCTTGGGTTCTATGGATTTCTATGGCTTCTGTTGTTGAAATATGGAACTTGGTCAAAATTGGACTTTTATGGCCGAAGTTGACTTGCTGGTTGGTGGTTTGGAACATGTTTTATTTTTCCATATATTGGGAATCTCATCATCCCAACTGACTTTCATATTTTTCAGAGAGGTTGAAACCACCAACTAGTGGTTAATTTTTGGAGTTTTAGGGCCGAATTTAACTTGAGTCTCTTTTGAGTATGTGATGCGGTGACTGGATAAGTCTGCGACTCGTAGTGGCTACCAGGTCTCCAACGGTGCAAGCTGAGAATGGTGTTCTTCAGGCAATATCCCCATGACATCATAGAATTATATGATATTTTATGTGTATGCATAAATATTATATAGTATTATGTAATATTATATAATATAATTTAATATAATATAATATGATATAATATAATATGATATAATATTATATAATATAATAAACTATATTATAATGATATTGAATAAGATATGATAATGATAATATGTAATAATAAATAATTATATATATATATGTATAACTATATTTGATTATATCTAATGATATGTAATTATATTTGATATAATACTTTAATATATGCTAGGATATAATATGATATAATATAATATGATATAATATAATCTTATATAATCTTATACAATCTTATACAATCTTTTACAATCTTATATCATCTTATATAATCTTATATAATCTTATATAATACTATACCATCTTAAAAAATCTTATATAATATTATATAGTATTATACATATGTCGATATCCACAGCACTTGCAGCTACACATCACCAAGCCCATTGTGATCAATGTTTTTCATACTGAGGACTTACTGAAGAAGTTCAGCCAGGTTGGGAGCTCGGAACACGTGATGTTTGCTATGGAAAACTATCATTTTTAGTAGGTAAATCACCGAACTAAATGGCCATATTCAATAGCTACGTTAAATTGCCAGAGGGAAATTAGGTGTGTAATTATATATATATACATAATGGTTGGTGGTTTGGAACAGTTTTTATTTTTCCATATATTGGGAATAATCATCCCAACTGACTAATATTTTTCACAGGGTTTGAAACCACCAACCAGCATATTACTTATAGATAGATATAGATGCTCTGAAAAATGAAAGCATCAACGCAAGCAGAAGCGGGTTTTGTGAGCAGCTTTGTTCCCTGGATAGCGGGTGGTGGTGGCAACTTTTCGCTTTTATTCTTAGAATTTTTGGTCATTATAAGTTGTTCCCCAATCTGTTGGATCCCGGATTCACCTTCTGCCATGGCCGCCATGGCCCCAATTCCTGAAGTCGTGGTTTGGGAACGTGATGGATTGATGGGATGATATGGGATGTGAAGCCAAGCGAGCTGAACAGATATTCCCGTGGGTTCAGCCTGTGCCGGTGAGGTTACATATGATTAGCTCACGGGACCACATTGCATGACATGCTTTGGATGGCTTCGTGGTGGTTCAAAAATCAACGCCATGATTGAAGAACTGCCAGCCCTGGGTTTATCAGAAAATAGGGTACCCCATTCCATTCGATGGCGATCAATTGAGGTATTCCCGCCTCATCATTGCAACAACTGCCAGCTATAGCTGCGTTGTTGCGTTGCAATGTCAACTCCCCCTGATTTTTAAACCCCTGCGCTGCTTGATTGGGGGTACCATTTGAGTAGCAACTGGTCACTTTTTTGAGGTTAACCCCCCTGATGAATCAACCAGGTTTTTTTGTACCTTGCGTTTGACATTCACGCACAGCAGAAATTGGGATTGAAGTCGAAATGGGCAGCGGCCGCGCTGAACCCCAAGAACCAACCGGTAGTATTGCACGATGTCCATCCATGTCCCATCATATGATTGGTTCCATACTTATCTGGTTGGTGCTTTGGAACATTTGGATTATTTTTCCATATATATATATATACATACATATATATATATATATTTCTATATATTGGGAATTTCATCATCCCAACTGACGAGCTCATATTTTTCAGGGGTTGAAACCACCACCAACCAGTTATTTTTTTGGTTCAACAGCCCAATGAGATCCCGAAAAAATACGATCAAATCACCGGAGCTATGGTCCTGGGTGGCAGATTCACGGTTCATATACCCTTAATTAGATCCAAAAAAATGGAGGATCAACTAGGAGATATGAGATCTAACATGATCTAAGTACATCCAAGTATCATTTAACCATATATTAACCATGTATTAACCATATATTAACCATAGAATAACCATGAAATTTCCAAATCTGCAGTTCACTGTTGACGCCATCTGACGCCCAAAAAAAGATGGTTCCCATGGGACTGTCTGTTAAATCCCCCGTGGTTCTTTGGCACCGGCTACAGAAACATACAGTGACCTTTGGCCACGGAGTTCGTTAACTAGTTCCTATATGGATTATGATTGGGTTGTTTAAGTTGTTTGGTGTTTTTTTTTTATGGTTTATCAACATGTCATAACCCAGTTATCCCCAGGACTCGTGTGATGTTCCTATTTCCCATGGCCCATGTTTTCCGCCGGACGCGGAGGCATCGCTCAGGGCCAAGGATCACATTTTGCACTTCCGCTGCTACGTCCAGCTGGGCCAAGCCGATGATGCACTGCGGCTGTTTCGCCGCCTGGCGCCTGAGGCGGGGATGGTTTTAGTTTTCTGAGGTGGAAGATTGGGCAGAAAGACTAGAGATATTCATTAAAATGGCCAGACATGGCTGTATAGTGTACATTATACATACAGAATCACATAGGTATTGCTAGAAAGAAACCACAAAGCTAGGAACATGAGCAACAATTTGCCCGAAATGTGGGGAGTTTGGGTTTGGAGGTGCCAAACGCGACGGGGATCCGACCCTCGGGTCCCAACGTTGATCCATATTTATGTGATGTCAAAACTTCAGTTCTCAATGCGCGTAACGTATAGATTGTTCAACATAATTCAACTATAATATGTATATATATATATTTGAAACATATTATATTGGTATTATATATGTGTATATATATATATATATACATTATATATAATATTTATAATAATGATAATAATAAGAATAATAAAACAATAATAATAATATATATATAGTATTATATTATATAGTGCAATTATATTTTAGTTATTATATATATAATGCATTATATATTACATGTTTTTATGTTTATAATATATATATATATAATATAGTATATTTTATATATTATATATTCTGAAGACATGTATTTATCAATATTCCATAGATATTCTGTAATGTGTGCGTATGTGCATATCATACTGTACGATACCATTGTCGCAGATGACTTAGAGAAACCAGCTGAATTCCCCACTCACACTTCATGAAGGTCGCACCAGAGATTTACCGGGGCTGCGATTCAACCAACAAATATACGTTTTTCTTTGGTGATATACAACATAAATTTGGTCAGTCTAATGGGTAATTGTTTAACACTTAGAATATGCCGAGATCATCGGAATCCTTATCAGCAGGCAGATGAGTTCAGGCTGTAAGAACTTTCTTGAGTTGCATGTGGCAATAGAAACGAATTTTGGATGGTGACTTTAGATACTCAGAAAATGGGTAAGATCCAGAAAATGATCAGTGGATAATTTTTGATTGGACGCTTAAAACATCTTAAAACCACGAACCATTTCAGTGGTCCATTGGATCACTTTGTATCCCCTTTTTTTCCGACCATTCATGCAGCGCAGGTGACCAACCTCATGCTGAACTTGCACCTGGATTGAAGCTGTCCAACCTGGGAATGCTTCGCATTCACTTTGCGTTTCATATGGGATCCCCAACACCATGGATTTCAAGACAAATATCACTCATATGGTCCAATGACTTGGATGATTTGGGGTTACCCCTTTTTCAAGAAACCCTGGATTGCAGATGAAAGAACTGCTTCTCATTTTTACACATGGTACAGTTATAGTCATTGCAAAAAATGAATATGTGATGTTATAGTACAGTGGGTTTCAGTTGGAAGCCACCGAGGCCCAAACGTTGGGAATTTATAGAAACGGGGCGCTTTTCAAAGCACAAAATATGAATTGAAGAATATTGAATTGAAATTGAAGCATTTTGATGGATGATTGAGTTTTGTTCAATCTCCAGTAGATTAAGTTAGTTCATAGGCGAAGAAGTCAACAATCAACAGATATTGTTTTATTGAACAATGTCAATGTTGGGTAAACCTGTAACCTTGGTTTTATATATATATATATCAGGAAATCCAGCTTCAAACTCACACCCTTTGTTGCCAGGTTAACAGTAGACTTACAAAATGATCACAAGAGACCACCCCAAAACATCCTAACTCACAGGTTTCCCTCATTTTCGATTTAAGTGTGTCATTTTTTTTGGCTTTCCCCCAGTACTCGTAGCTGTAAAATCCGTCCCCCCGAGATCTACCAGGCTGTGCCCAGGTCGCTGCACGCCTGTGTGAATCAACGTGACCCCGAAGCGGCGTACGCTTTGCTGCTGGAAGCCAAAGAGATGGAGCGGCACCTGAAGGCGGTTACTTAAAGGGAAAGCAAGCGGTGAATGGTGAGTGATGGATCATGATTTGAATATATATACACATTTATTATATATGTATATATGTTATAATATATATATATGTTATATTATATGTATTATTTATATTTTTTATATACCTAATGGGATTTATTGGGGTATAAATGAATATGAATGAGTTTAATAAATGATACATCTGTAGGGATGTTCAATGATTTAAAGATGGTTTAACCAACAAATATGGCTTTCTATAGGGATACGTAAATCTGGTGAGTCTTCTAGGTCTTCGTTCATCCCAGTGACATAAAATTGGACATTGTTCCTACCCCCAAAATATGGGGTGAACTACCCTCTAGACACATGGGAATATTCACAAAACAGCAAGGAATCTGTTTGGCAATCTTATGTTTTTGCTATTAATCCCTTCCTATTCTTGACATTTCTTGATATTTCTTGGCTACACCTTGGCCATCCTGGCTGGGGCCATATGAAGCTCCAAACTTCGGACGCATCACTTGTAGTCCCAGAGGATCTATTCATGAGTTGGGAAGTTGGGATTTTTTCTGAGACATGTACCCTTCGGTTTTTTTAAACTTAGCAAGAGGAAATCCCCGAACTAAATGTAGGTTTATAGCTGTGAAAATCAACGAACTAAATTGTGTTTTTTTCATTGCTATGTTTGATTACCGGAGGGTAATCGGTCATTGGATGGCAATGGTTGGGTACCTCTGAGTATGCAATTTTGGGTGTCAGACCCCCAGCTATGTCTCAAGCTATGTTTCAACTTTGACTTGCTTCAACAAGAGCTCAGCTGAGATACCTTCAGTCCAGCACTACAATGTGATGTCCCCAAGTTGTGTTTCTTGGTTTGTAAACTCCATTGCCCATTTAGCTAGTTTTAACTGTAGAATGCTATACATATATAGATATTGATATAGATATTTCTACTATAAACATCTCTATAAACAAAATTTTAACTACTAAACCAACTTTGCTAACGAACTGGGAGGAGAAGATTGTGGACGTCGTCTCCTACAACACAGTGCTGAAGGGCTTCTCAGCTGCGAAATGCTCCGATCGATGCTTCGACTGCATGAGCCTTGGATTCGGATGTCGATGTGTGTGGCTGTGACCCCATGTGAGCTGACCACAGTTGTTGGGATTTCTGAAAGGGATTCTTCAGCAAATATATATATATATATTTATACATGTATTAGATATTATATGTACATATAAATTTATATATATATAAATATTAGATATTATATGAGATTATATCAAATTCTTATCAGTTATAAAACAAAGCCGGTGATTTTGTGTCCGCAAAATTCATAAAAAGTTCTGTCGGACAGGCCAGGCCGGCCGCTAAGGAAGGACTTGATCGACCACGGCCTTCAACCCAACGAGATTTCACTCGCAGCTCGCCGATGAACTTAACGTCACGGTCAATCTTAGATGCTATGTTCCATAGCTATGTTCGTTTACCAGAGGATTTATTATATAAGATAGATACTAGGTCAATCTTACATGGATACTAACTAATCCTAACTAGTCTTTTGGTATCAATGGGAATATCTACTAACAATCAAAGAATTTAGCTTTTTGCAGGGTATCTAAGATTGGCAATGTTAAGGAAAAATGTCATGGGAAACGTTTCAGGTTGAGCCAATTTGGTAAACTACCAATATGGAAAATGGATGAGCATGGCCCTTCTATAGTTGATCTACCTATTAAGATTATGATTGTCCATAGCTACTAAAACCAGCATGATGTATTCACATGTTGTTTCTTATATACTTAAGACTTCCATGCATATGAATCATTTGAATCCATTTCATCAGTCGCTTGAGGACAGCTGCTGTGTTGATTATGCTGAAAGAATTTCCAACCCTCAGGACGACAACATCATGTCGGCAATATGATGTAGAACATTCTGTGGCTGGAGAATAATGGTGCTTCGCAGGGAATGAGGGAATGATCCATAATCACTAGTAATAATCATCCCAGCAACCCCCATTCCCATCCATTCCCTACTAGGCAAGAGTAAGATAATAGTAACCCCAACTGACTATATAATATTATTCGGGGTTGAAACCACCAGGTTCTGTGGCTGGAGAAGAATAATGACCCATCCATTGAACAACAAGGGAGCAACGCCTTGAGGCGAGCACACCCCAGCTTGGACGTATGTCACATGTAGGATCATCTATATAGACATACATATCACGACCTATGATATATAATTATATATATAGTATTGTTCAATATTATATAATATTCTAATATTATGTAATTATATTATACATACTAAACACATACTTCCATAATCTTACTTGCAATACACAGCATGTTTCCAAAAAAACGACATATATATATATATATAGTTATAGATAGAGTCGAGTCTACAATATTTACATGTATATGATATATATATATTTATAGAGAGAGAGACATGTTATTATTGTAGAAAAATATTTTATCTATATGTAGAGATTATTTGTACATTGATAGAAAATCAAATCACATGATCATGATGTATAGAAAGTATGATGTTTTGGCATCATATTATCCAAATATCAAAATCATATCAATACGTATAGAAAATCATATCATCAAAAATATGTTTATTGTATCTCTATCAGTCTCTATCATCACGGATTTTCCATTATAAACATCCATTTTGGGGTACCACCATTTTTGGAAACTAACTCAGAATATAGAATCATACATCATTAGAACAACATTTTATTAATATATATATATATAGAGAGAGAGAGAGAAATAAAATCTGTTCATACCGTCCATGGCGTTCCAGGCGGCGTTGATGGAGGCCGAGATCGGCGAGGTCCTGCTTCGCTCGACCTCCATGGGATCAAAGCTGACGCCTGGAGCGAAACATGCTGGGACTGATGTGGGTTGATACATGCTGTATATATGTTTTTTTTTTTAATAGTAGTGTAGTGTAATGTAATGTATGTATGCATCGACATATGTATACATATATATGTATATGTATGTATGTATATATATATATACATACCCATGTAAACATTTACGTATATGGTTATACGGATATATCCTGACCCATATCATGATATAACTCAGTCATCAGCTGACTGACTGTCGACTGACTACCAAACAAACCCGGTACTCCACTAACTCACTCACTAGATCTAAGAACCCATATAAATCACTAACGAACTAACTCACTGACTATCTACAAGGGGAAGCCCCCTAGCTAGCTTAAGTTGACATATAACTTGGTAAACTAGGGTTTATAGGCTTATAGGGGATACAACTATGTATATATAATTATATATATATAATTAACGGGTCAAAAAAAAATCTGAACTACGGACGTATATCAAATATGAAGCGTCCGTAGTAGTCTAGAATATATTTAAAAAAATACTTAAGTAACATGTTGGAACATGTTTTTTGATTTGTTTTTTTTAGAAGTCCAGTTAGAGTCGCTCCAACCTCACCATCCAACGGGTTGGCCGAGGACCCCTGGGCTCTACAAGGCCTTCCTTCGAGGCCTGGTCCGTGCGAACCAGATCTCGAAGGCCGTGGCACTCTATGAGGCCATGAAGGAGTGACGTGACCGCAGGATACGGCACGGTGATGGTGATATGGATACTAGATTTAACTATCATATGTGTATATATATATGTATATATATATATGTATATATATATAATATGTAAATATATGTATGTATAAATATATATATATTTATAGCTAATTACTGTGATACGGATTTAAATGATTGAAGTATCACATGTATTTATATATATATATATATATTAGATAGGTAAATACGTGTATATATATATAGATTTTGATATGTACATATATATTGAGTTCAGGACATATATGTAGATACGTATATATATATACGTATACATATGTATATATGTATATTGAGATATGTGTATATATATATAGTAATTGCTATGATAGGGATTTAAATGATTTAACTGTCATGTGATGATCCATCCTATCCTATCATATCTAGATAGTGGTTTTCCCATACATATATATATAGTTACTATGATAGGGATACTATTGATATATAGATATCATATGATATCACATTGAAATAGATGATGGTTTCTCCTGTCTTTTCCAGGTGTTCAATTTGAAAAGGCATGTTATCCTCCAAGATAAACCCAAATTAAAATTAATCGTGGATTGAGAACCATGCCCCAAGATGGGTACATAGTCCATTTTTTTCACGGTCAACCGACTCTTTAATTGGCTGCAATTTGGATGTGGGTAAATTAACCGATTGACCTAACCAGCTATGTTCTTTCGTTGGGGGGTACCCAAGGTTGGACATGTGAAGTGGTGTTTTTCCAATGGCAAATTAATCCCTGCTGTTTGATGATTGTAATTGTATAACCCCGAAGAACATGTCATGTTTTTTAAGTGGAGTTGGGACAATTTGAATAATTTGAACATTTTTTTCACGACCATGTCAGCTAGTCTTTATGACTGTTTTTGAATTGCCAAAGACGGGAATAACTACAATTTTGCAATCTCGAAGCTGGAGGCTTGGGTTGTTTTCTGTTTTTTTTCAATCGTCACGGAAAAGTCCCTGGTGGCTGATTTCAGTTGTGCTTCAAACATTCGATGTACCCTCTGGTTATTTAACATAGCCATGGGAAATGGCCCATTTATAGATGGTTTACCTATTAAAAATGGTGATTTTCCATGGCTATGTTAAATAACCAGATGGTAGATGAATTCCTCGAAAAAATCACAGGAAACCTGAGTTGGATGGCAATGCCATGGTCTGCAGATGTTTCCTTAGAACCGGCCCAGTGAGTTTTTTCGCCAAAAAAAAACATGGGATTACGCGGATTGCTGAGTGTGGTTTGTCGGTCTTTGAACCTATGAATTGTATGGGATATCAATTAAAAACCCTAGCCTGCCTAGCTATAACTCAACTTAGCCATCGTTTGGGGGCGGGAATTTGCTGTTATATCCAGCCGCTCCAAGAGGTTACATTTTTTACTCACAGAAAACTGTTTAATTAAACATATAATTGAGAGTGGCAAGTTGGTGTTGTCTTTCCTTCAGGTAATGTCACACTCCGACATGGAACGTTTTTGGAACCTATAGGAATGCCGTCAATCCCCCGAATGGGAGACATGGCGGGTCCAGGTCACACTAATGGCTGGGTGATTTTTAGGACATGGATCACCACTCCTGGAAAAATTCAACACTCCCGGCTTTGTTCGATGATGTCCAGATTGTATTTTCCCATGTACAAGTAGGATATATTCCACTACCACGTTGATTGCACAAAGTAGTCGGTGGTTTAAACCGTGTAGTTTTCTCAACCCGGGAAATGATCCCAACTACAGAGCATATTTTTCAGGGGGGTGGAACTGGCAGGGAAGTAACTCACCATTCTTACAATGTGGTGGCCCCCAGTTATGTTGGTTGATTCATAATCCCCATGAAAGTATAGATACATCTGCCATGAACGCAAGGGTTCGCCTGCCTGAAGCAAGTTTTTCGAACGAACTGAGGCTAGGTCTCCATCAATGGAGGTACCCCAATAGCTGGATGGTTTATGAGGGAAAATCCGAAAATCGGATAGAAAGGGGTACCGCCATGACTATGGAAGACCTCTGGCAAACATCTCCCAGGGAGTTCTCTTCCGTCAGTGCCCAGGCAAAAAGTGGCGCTGACGGACATCGCCGTCTTTTCGGTGTTGATCAAGGTCCTCCATGGAGGATGATGGCAAGATATGGCAAGTGACACATCTGGGTCTCCGCATGGATCCGAATGTATTCAATATGAATACCCAGAAAAAAGTGGACGGAACGGAACAAATGCGACGTTCTGATCTATGGCTTATTCTGGCTTTGTATTTGAATGTACTAGGTTTTGAAATAACGCCCAGGCGCAGGAGTTTCGCCCTGTGCAATTTTTCAGTTTCAGTAAGTGCAAAAGTGGTAGGAATTTCAAGAACATGTACAATTCGCTTCATTGTGTTCATGAGATCTACTGCGAAACCACGGTGGGGTATTTTTTTAGAGTATGGTATGTAGTACGACTGATGGTGCAGGTTGAAATGGTTCATGAGATATTTCATGGGACAACTCACAACCAACCATGATTTTGGGGATGTAATGGGATATAATTGGGATATAAGTGGGATATACAGTACATATTGATTGGCTGGGGTATAAAATTGGATATAGTTGAGATGTAAATACTGTAATCGGGATGTAAACACATTATTAGGTGACAAAATGGGATAACCAGTTCTTATAATAGTTGGGATTCACTCCGATAAACATACAAAAAACATCAAAAAGCTAAGGAAAATCACCATGCATGTTTAAAAGGCAAATTAACGAACTTTCTATGGCCACGTTCAATAGCAAACTGTTAGTCACCAGAGGGTAGCCGGGCGATTGAAGTCCTATGGGATGGTGTTTGTTTTGGTTCCTAGCAGTTCCTACCTTCAAAAAGGTGGATATATTATGATATATTGTGTAATTCACTTATAATCCGTATATTTTGTTGGTATAGACATCTATAAACCAAGGTTTTCTTTGGACAAAAGAACAATCTATTGATGTTTCACTGCCAGACGCGTCGAGGCCCTGGTGGATCAGCGAGATTCATCGAAGGCCTTTGAATTGGTGGAGGATTTGAGACATGGCAAGATGAGTATCACGGATGGTTCAATGGTTAAATCATGTTAAATCCCATTAAGTTAATACAGCGGTTACTGTAATAGTGGTTAATGATGGTTGATATTGGTTCAATGATGAATCAATGGATTGGCTTAAGGATTTTCCATCGATTTTCCCATGAAGATCATGGCGTTTCCGACGTTTTATTTTTCCATATTTAACGGATCCATTGAACCAATATCAACCATCATTAACCACTATTAACCACTATTAACCATCATTAACCACTGGTGTCTTAATGAGATTTAACGGCAACCATCAAGAAATGGAAAGTTTTTAGTGGGGATATTGAAGGTTGATATCGTGGGACTGGGAAAAATGGGTAAATCAAGGAACTTTCTATGGGCAAATTTCAATAGTGATATGGACAATGGATATGTTTCAACAACCTGCAGTGATATGACCTAGAAATGGTTGGTGGTAGTGATATGCGAAATCACAGGAAGGTTTAGGATGATATAGAATGATAGTCGTTACCGTTCGGTCAATAAACTTCGCCGTGGAAAAGCTGCAGTTTCCAAAGCAACATGACCTAGAAATGCTTGGTTGTCCGGATGGTACGCGGAATATGATGGCATGCGGAATCTATGGAAGGGAACAGTGGTTATGCAAAACATGATGAATTCTAGTTTGCTGCTGTAGTGGTCAAATATGATGCAAATCGAGGATTTACTCTTAAAAGGTAGGGGATTGGATGGGGGGTTATGAATATTCAAAGTGGTATCCATTATTGGATACCTCGGGGCGATATTTATATATATATATACATACAAATGGGTTAGTCTATATAGAAATGATTGATTTGGTCCACTGCAAAGCCGACCACGATATGCGGATGGAATGGGATATATGCAGGTGTTTGTTAAGCAGCAGTTTTGTTTTTACATTGTCTCACTGGTTGTATATATACTATGTACGTCGTGCGTGGCTCAAGAAACAAGCGTCTACTTGTAGTTGCATTGTGGCTGGGTAGACCTGTAAAACAGGTTATCAGCCGTAACGTAACGTTCTCTTTCGTAGGCATGTCTGCCCCCTCAGGTACTTCCCCTGAGGGCCCCGGTATTCCCGTTTCCTCTGACGCAGCCATGGCAAATCCGGGAGCCTTGCCTATTTCAGACACCCCATTTTCCATTGACATAAGCACACCCACTGGTTCCGACAAATCGCGTAGTTTGAGGGACAGATGCCACTTACCGCATTTGAGTAACGCAATTGTGCCTTCTCATGCCGGCTTTAACCATCGTGGATATGTCCCCCAAGCCGCTCGGGAGAGTGGGCCGCCGACTCGCCAGTTGAACCAAATGAACGTTCACAACATTTTCCATCACAATGTGCAAATGGATAATCCTCAAGTGAATTTTGTCGAGCAGAATTTGCATGTCCATTCACATGATACTGCGATGACAAGCCTTGTGGAAACAGCGGCCGAGCTCCGCCATCGTGAGGTGTTGGCTCATACCGAAGCTCAGGCTGAAGCTATCCACACGGCCAAGACTGAGGAGTTGAAGGAAGCTTTGCGAGTCCGCGAGGGCATTGAAAGTCAGAGGGCCCTAGATGCTATCAGAATCAAAGAACAAGAACTTTTGAATGCGGGTGCCCAATATAAAGAGAATTTACAGCATGAGGCGCATGAACACGTAAGGTTCCGTGAAGCTCAGATGAATGAGAAAATTCAGGCATATCAACGTGTCATTGATGCTAACCATCGACAATCACTATCAAGTAAGGAGCAAGAGATCCTTGAGTTGAAAAGGGCAGCTGAGGAAGAGAGAAGGATTCAGAATGAACGCATTACACAGCTTGAACACATGGTACAAGCCCAGATGCAACACAATCTGAAACTTCAAAGTATGCTCGATTCCCAATTTGCTCAGGTTCGTCCAAGTCCTATTGTCGAGACTGCCGCCATGACTATGACAGCCGGAACACACACATCAACGGAGATCCCAAATTTCGAGTTTGTTCCACCAACCCGCAAAGCTGCACCTGCAGCGCCTCCGACGAGTGTTGCCCGACCTCCTATTCCAAGAGCACCAATTAGCTTTACTTCACCTGGTACTGAAACTTATGAAAAGGATGGCATTGAGATTATTTATCATGATCCCTCATATCGAGTCCCAGTTCAAGTGAAGAAAGAGTCGGATGTTGCAAGGTCTTCCGCTGAGGAACGCCCTTCGGGAGGAGAGGCCAATAATCGACGCCGAGATAACCATCCCATGGATAATGTCAATTCCCCTGCGCCGACCAATCAATATGCCCCGACCGAACTAGGCCCAGATGAAGTGGACTACTTCGAGCCGGGGGAAGACGATCTGCCAGATGGTGACGATCCCGGGGATGGAGGAGACGGCAACGGAGGGAACGGGGGAGGTGGACCACCCTCACCACCTGTTGACAAGCCGGAGGGAAATAAGGGTCGTAAGGTTCCCAAAAGGAAGGGAAATGATCCAAACCCCCCCGACGGTGGTGATGACGGTTATGATGATCCCGATGATGATGATGATGAAAAGTTCAGGCGAAGAATGATCAAATTTCTTGGTGGTTACGTCGACCAAAGGCATGACGATAAACCCAAAGTCAAGGAAGCTGACACTATCAAAATTCCAGCTTTCCCATTAGCGGAAACCTACCGTAATTGGAGAATCAAGACCAGAGAGGCAGTTGTAGCAGCATCAACCGATCCCGACAGTGCTTTCAAGTGGGTTAGTGATTCTTGGAAAGAAGATCAGACTCTTGAAGCGCTCCGGAAGGTTGCGCCGTTTGCGACACTTGATGCAAAGTTACTTTCTGCACTCACCAACATTATCACTGGTGACTTCGCCCGCAAGGTAGACACCTTCAAAGAGACTGAAGCCACCGCTGGACGAATTGTAAGAGGGAGACAAGTGTTGTTCATGTTGCATGACCACTTCAGTACCAACATCAAGCACGGAGCAACCTATGCCCTTCAAGATTTGTTCAGTGTCCAATTGCGTGGGGAGAATTTGAAGTCTTTCATTTCGAACTGGGATCAAGTGTTGGCTGGTATCGTCCAGACTCCTGATGTAAGTGTATTGGAGACACTCTTCTACAAACAAGTGAAGAATTGTAAGGCCATCCAACATGACATGAATGAGTATCATAGAGCTGATGAAGGAACCGAAAAACGAAACTACAGTTTCCTTGTTTCTGCCGTGCGACGCCACCTTGACCGTGAGAGGTTGGAGGCAAATCGTGATCGAGTTGCCAAAGGTCTTTCGGGTTCCGGTCGTCCCTCCGCTCCCGCAGTCGAGGGCAAGACAGGATTCATCCCCAAGGGGTATTGTGTGGCATGGAATAAGGGAGGCTGTAGCAAGGACAACTGTACTTACAAGCATGAAGTCCCCAAGCCACGTGATAGAAGTCGCAAACCCAGCAAAACCAGAGGTCGCTCAAATGAACGTTCTAGTTCTCCCAGACCAAAGGGGAAAGGTAAGAAGATTTGCAAGTTTTGGAAACAGGGACGTTGCGATAGAGGAGCTGATTGCAAATTCCTTCATGAGGGTTCAGTGGGAAAGCCAAGACAAGCTACTCCTGCCCGTTCGGCCAGTAGCGAAAACAAAAATAAAAAGAGAAATCCCAAGAACCCGAAAAGGAAGGGATCCCGAAGCTCTAGCCGCTCTAAGAGCCCCAAGAGCCCGAAATCCCCGAAGTCTAAAGGATCCGGGGCCAGTTCATCTAAGCCGTCTCCTGCCGCAGTTTGTCTTGTTGCATCCATGCTTGCATCCGTGTCTCAGGCATTTTGTATCCCTCAACCAAGAGTATTTTGTTCATCGATTCGTTTTGATGATTCGCCGGACGTATCTCATGTTAAAGTCCGAGGGAACTTGAGGCCAATTGGAAACGCAGTCACCAAGGATAAGGTTACCTTTCCATGGGGACATCAGTTTGAAGTTGATCAACTTGCTGTGAATGATGCCGCTTTGACCGGTACCATGTTGGCAGGATCTGTTTCCAATTGTCTTCGGGGAATAGAATGCAAATGTGCCTATTTATGTGACACAGATTTTGGTTGCAATGAATGTATCCCAAAGGGAATCAAAGCCACCCCTGCGGAATGTAGAGAAGACGTGAAGGGAGCGATCAACCTCGAACTTGACTGGATTGCTGATACGGGGAGCGCTCAAGATCTTGTCAATGATAGCGAATTGCCAGATAACTATGGATACTACTCCAACAATCCCATTCGCATGATTACTGCCAATGGTGAAAGTTCGTCGTCGAAACAAGGTAAAGTATTTGTTCCGAAGTTAGGCAAGACCATTGACCCATATCTTGTTCGAAGCTCACCTCCTGTCATTTCAGTCGGGATGAGATGCATTGATGATGGTTACGACTTCATATGGAGAGGCTCCAAAGGTGAACCTCCTTACATGGTCAAACCAAATGGGGAACGCATTGAGTTAGTTGTCAGAGATTACGTACCCTACTTTGCAAATAATTCAAAGACGATTTCCACTCCATCAACTCAGCCTAGACCAAGTATTGCCACCCCGGCATCAGATGAAGCTCAACAATCTCCGGAGCCCGATGGGGACATTGAAATCATTGGTGATGACCCCATGGGTATCAATGTTGATTTACCGGAGCCCCAGCCCTTGGAGGCTGAGGAGGTTGATGTTCCTGATGCCGACCGGGAGGTTGAGCCGCCTGTGGAAGGATCCAAGGGTAGCAGTAGTAATGTCCATGATGATGGTGCTCACAAAAGGTCACTCGGGGAAAAGGAGTTGAAAGAAGAAGCTAAGTCCATTCGACATATGCTGACTCACATCCCTAAGAACCCCTTTTGCGACATATGTACCAGAGCTAAGATGTTCAAGCCACCCTCAAGAGCTGTAGGCGGATCAACTAAAGTTAAAGCTGAGAAGTTTGGTGACCACATCACTGCTGATTTTATTGTTACCAGAGATGAAGATGAGTTGGGAATCGATGAAGAGAA